CTAGAGATGACCTCTACAGCCCTGAATGTCAGCGGAGACCATGTCAACTAGATGAGCCCCAGAGACAGATCCCCTGTGAAGACCTCGTCACCTCGACGACCATCGGCACAAGACCACGGGAACCAGACAAGTCCTCTACTAAATCTGACCTGTGTTGCAGCCTGGAATTAAACTACGCCATGCTGGTTTTGTCTGGACAGAGGAGAACTGGCCCCCTGACTGAGCCTGGTTTCTCCCATGGTTTTTTTCTCCATTTCTGTCGCAGATGGAGTTTTGGTTCCTTGCCACTGTCGCCTTTGGCTTGCTTATTTTGGGACACTTAATTTCTGGCAATATTGTCGACTCGATTGCACAGATACTATTTGAACTGAACTGGAAGATGACATCACTGTTTACTATTGTCCTCTCCTCAAAGCTGCTTTGACGCAATCTGTATTGTATAAAGTGCTATATAAATAAAGGTATTTATTTATCTACTTATTTATTTTCATAATTCATTACTGTTGGTCACCCTTTACGTCTATGGGTTTTGCAAATATTTAACCAATGACAAGTATTAGAAAGAGCTTGTAACTAACCCTAGCTCAAGTTTAACCTTTTCGCACGTTTAAAATATACTAGCTGAGCCTCTGGCATGAGTTTTTTTTTTAGGCGACCATTATATTAGAATGTATCGCTTTACTGTTTCCATAGAGATGCGTCATGTTTGTCACGTGACACACCGCAGCCACAATAGCGCTGTATGACACATGCATCGCGTTTATTTCGTTTTTCCTTTTTTATTCAAAATATTCACTAATGTGTTCACTATATTATGAAATATCTGATATTCCGATTCTCAAATACGTGAACACAAATGTATTTGGTAGTTTAAACACCTTTTATAATGACCATTGTTAGTTGATCTATACCGGGTGATGGGCGCCGCCATGTTAGTTCGCGCTGAATCCGAGCTGTGGGATTTACAACACGTACTAAATTCATCCTCTCCTCCCAAAACACATTAAAGTAAGTCTCCAGTGAACTGGGAGAAGAGTAGACTAAACCAGTGGTTCTCAAACTTTTTTGGTCACGCCCCCCTTTAAAACCTATAAAAAAATCTGGCGCCTTTCCCGAATCCCCATCCCACCTCAGACTACCAAATAATTTCACTAAACATTATGAAAAATTAATGCTTTTTTTAATTTAAAAAACCTACAGGGAAAAAAACACCTGCATCACTTAAAACATAAAAAAAATAGCATAGAGAGAATAACTCTTATTATTATCTCTGTATTTTTATTTTATTTTTTTATAGGTTTCATCCTGTCCACTATGGCATAGGACACATAGACCAGTGGTTCTCAAACTTTTTTGGTCGTGCCCCCCTTTAAACTTATAAAAAAATCTGCCCCACCCTTTCCCGAATCCCCATTCCACCTCAGAGTACCAAATAATTTCACTAAACATTATGAAAAATTAATGCTTTTTTTAATTTAAAAAACCTACAGGGAAAAAAACACCTGCATCACTTAAAACATAAAAAAAATAGCATAGAGAGAATAACTCTTATTATTATCTCTGTATTTTTATTTTATTTTTTTATAGGTTTCATCCTGTCCACTATGGCATAGGACACACACAGGCTTTCCTCCTCACCAACGACATTAAACACCGTGTCTACACCGGACGCGAGCGGCAAAATACAGTAGAACCCATTATAATCAGTGACGCTGTGTACACTGGATGCGACGCGACACGACAAAACCCCAACATTAAACTGATTCCTTGTTCTATTTATGACGTACTGACACAAAGTTAAAATGATTTGCAACGGTCGCTTTGTCGCGTCCAGTGTAGAGCTGTTGTGGTGCGACATGTGTAGCACCCGGTATAGACACGGTGAGTGAAGCCGAGAGCAAGATATGCCTCGTCATATTTTCTGCATTTAGCTTTTGAATGACCAGCACCTGCCTGGGTCTGTGCGACTTCATCTATGGTTTTTCTCTTCCCTTTCACAAACTGATCCATCTCCCATTCTAAGTTACGTTCTTTGGCTGTTTACTGTTTTTTCTTTTCTTTTTCTACTAATGGCCCGCGCCCCCCCTGCAATACTCGTGCGCCCCCTCCTGGCAGGCGCGCCCCACACTTTGAGAACCACTGGACTAAACTTTATAGTTACCTACACAATGTGTATATGATATATATGTCATCAAATTATAATTGAATGGATTATTATTGCTGCTTCCACAGACATCGGTGTGTAATTTACAAACTATAAATGAATTGTTTTGCTAGTACTTATGTTTATGTAGATGTCTGAAACCTAAAATAAGCATTAAGTGTGTCCGTCTCTGGCTCAGCGCGAAAGCAGATTTGAATTCAGCAGTTGATCACGTGATGCGCTGAACGTTCTAATCACACCGGTGTGATCGTACACGTTAAAGGGTTAAATGAAGTGCCGCACACATTTTGGACCATCTCTCTCTGAATGGTTTCAATGCAAGGGTAAATAAAGAAATAATGAATGGTTGTTTGAATATGTACCGGGTTTTCTCTACTCCGTAAACACTATACTTATTTTATTTTATATAATGTTTTATAGCATTTGTCATATAGTCTTAATGGCCTGTGCCTTAGCACTTCATCTTTAATGACATGAGATTTTGGCCAAATGACAAAGTTTAATGGAGCAGTGTGGGCGCTCCATTTTTTTCTATAACCTGTAAGTTGATGAAAACTTAGGGTGTATTCACACCAGGAAAGTCCGCTAGTTCACTTGCTTTGGTCTGGACCAAATACAATGTTGATTTTTTGTTTTGTTTGGTGCAGTTCACTTTCACACTGCCCTTTTTTGCAAGTGAACCAGAAATTGTAAACAAAACCACACGTGTGCTAAGGTCATGCATTCATTGGACAGAAATTCTCAAGAAGGGAAAAACAGGAAGTGCAAAAACAGGCTAATCATGGATATCTTTCATAGTGCAATTTTTATTCTTTTACTGATTTGGTGTTATCAGATACTGACGCAATATATATGAGAATGTCATAAGATGTAATTACATTGAAATACATCCAAATAAAATCTATAGATATAAAATAGGCTACTTAAAGCATATCACAATGTTAGTTTAAACATTTAACCTATATAAATGTGTGCTAATAGGTGCATATCCAATCGTGCGGAGAGTGGAAACAAATTAAATGCGCTGTCATTTTTGCTCATAAAGGTAAGAACAATACATCGTTCGGAACTGTAAAGGGTCTATTTTTATTTGTGTGCACCCACAATATCAAGAAAACGTTGTGCTTTCGTAAAATAAAGAAAACAAATAGGATGCGCTTGCCGTCTCGGTCTTGAACAGGAGCGCTTCACAAAAATGCACCAAAACTCAGCGAATATTTTCCTTACAGACATGTTGAATATATCTATCTATAGAAAGCTTTAAAATGACTACAAAACAAAATAATTCAAATCCAAAACAAAAACTCTTATTATGAAATCCGTAAAGATGCATTTTTTCTAAAAGCGCGTCCAATGATGAGATGGGCGAGTCAGGATCATCAACTTCATTGCGACACTGACTCATAAAACACTAGTTTATTAATAAATAATTAATATATCTCCTTACTATTTTCCCCCAACATAGTCATGGTAATTTTTGCGGCAAACTTTAGCCTATTTAGCACGTTCACATCACGTTGCTGTGCGCCATGGTCATGAAAACTCATAATTTGCATGTGTTTTTAAGCATTGTGGTTTAAAAACATTTGTTTGGAAGCGGAGGTCTGTGGAGGACCTCTTCAGCTGGGTCTCAGTGTGGTTGTTTGGTCCACACCCGAGTGTGATTGCTGTATTCACACCTGCCAAAAAGGTCCGCACCAAGAGGGGAAACGAATTCGAGTTTTTGCCTAACAGCGATCGTAAGTTCTACTGCATAATAAATTGTTTAATAATACAGCATCATGATACACAGTCTCACTATTAGCTTTGACTTTTAACTATTAGAGTCTTTTGAAGGACAAAAACATGAACTTTAAAACTATTGGCGTTACATCAAGTTTATTTTGCTGCGAGGCCCTGTGCAGTCACACATTTTACACAGCCCTTGCCCGACGGATCTGCATCAAAGTACCACAAGAGCGATTGGAGAGACAGCTGATTCAGCCAGAGCAGCTTCTTCAGAGCTGCTGCAGGAGCTCTGATGACGACACACTGGTGTTTCACGATTGGCCGGATTCACCAATGACAACAATCACGTGTTTTGTGTTCATTCTGACATCTACAGTACCACTAATGCTCACAAATCTGTATTTTTATAACAGTATAATCTTTTTTCATGTAATCATAATGTTAGATTGTGTCATGTTCCTCACCAAAAAATTGGGCTCTAGATTTTTTTTTTATCACTTTTATTGTATGTAAATAGTATAGGCTTAAGTTTGAACATTATTCGTGTATGTTCACATGCTCTGTATTAAGCAATAAGGTACTGAACGAAAAGCATTTCTGTTACTTGATTAAAAAATGTCTGTGTATTTGGGAAATATTGCATCTAATTAACTTCATCTGTGATAAAGTATATACGTGTTGCTGCTAAATGTAGTTCAAAAGAAGCACTCGTCCTGAATCAACTTCTGATGCTACATTTACAACTGAGCTTTAAAGTCACAACAGTTTTCTTTACTGAACCATTCGAGTCACACACATTCAGCTAAAATCATCTATTTTGTTGCAGTTAGTGCCTGCTGGCCATTTATTTGCTTATCAAAGATCTTTAAAGGAAGAGCAAATGTAGACAGCAGCACTAACTCGACCAATATAAAGTCAATCACTCACATTGCCTTTTGCAAAATACTGTTAGAATTGATAGAAATGAATGGTTTTCATTTCAGAAGTAGTTTAATGTTACACAAAGTACTGTATTGGCCCGAATATAAGACGACCCCCCTTTTTCCAGATGTACCTTTTGTTTTTTTCTCAGTAAAACACATTTTGTCTTCAATTATTTTCATATTGCATATTTTTCCTATTTTATTTTTTGTTTTGAAAGTATGGTAAAAACTGGTAAAACGTAGCAACAATCACATTTAAAAAATATACACTTTTTGATATACCATAAAAAAAATAAAAAAACACAGGTAGCCCATCTGAATTAGGACATTTAGGCTATCCATCTAATAGTAGCCTACCAAAATCTTATTAACAGTAGAAGTTAAATCTTACTGTAGTCTTCAAATCTGGGTACTGTCTTACGTTTTAAAATCACAAAGCGAGTTTGGTACTTTGGTCCCATCAGTCACGACTCATGCAGCTGTAAGGTTTTCTTTTTCTTTTGTTTTTACTCGCGATCTTTACAACACGCATTACATTACGTATTTCATGGCACACTCGTTTTATGCGTATTTGGCGCCACCTATTGTTGTGGGTGTATTATTGACATGTCAAAGTCTAGACCCTGAATATAAGACGACCGCGTTTTTTCACATGTATTTCCAAGAAAAAAACATTCTTATATTCGGGTCAATACGGTAATTGTTTGTTTAGGCTACTTCTGTATTTCTTCTTCTAATTAAATGTGTGACATGTCATAACTGATGTCCAGTGTGGAAGTCGGATCTTCTCCGGTTGAAGGCAGCGTTAGCGTTTGTCTGGTCATGTGATCTCAACATGTCTGTCCACATGAGGCTCCATTTCAATTAAAACCACTTTAATTACGACACTCATGTGACATTTCTGTAGAGCTGGACATTTCAATAAGGATCAAATGACTCCAGCTTTGAGAATGAAAACCAACCTGTTTGTTCCTCAGGATATTCATGTTTGACTTCAATCTTCGTGTCTTCACTCTCCTCTTTAATAAACGCCATCTTTATTTGTCCCTCAGTATCTTCATGTTTCACGCTGAATACTTCTACAATCCTCTTCTCTTCACTCTCCTCTTTAATAAACGCCATCTTTATAATTGTGTGTCACGTGGATCTCAGTTGCTTCAGCAATCAAATGACTCCAGCTTTGAGAATGAAAACCAACCTGTTTGTTCCTCAGGATATTCATGTTTGACTTCAATCTTCGTGTCTTCACTCTCCTCTTTAATAAACGCCATCTTTATAATAGTGTGTCACGTAGATCTCAGTTTCACCAGGAGTTTTTCTGTGTGTTTGGACACTTTGTCCTGTTTAAGATGAGAATAATTAACAGAAAGAATAAATACAAAGTTCTACATCTGTGCGTCGCTCAGTAGTCAGCGCACTAGTAAGGGAGTCAGTCACAGTGAGAGTTCATGGCCTGATGAAAAACATTTAAAACTAGCACTATAATAAAATAACAATTTATATTGAAAGTCCATAACTAGGTATTTGATTTATACCCATGAGAGCATTTGTGATTAGTTTGTAAAGGTTGTAATTAGTTTTTTGTGTTTGTTGTTCTCGTTGCATTTACACTGTTTTGATCAGCATGTGACGTCAGCGTGCGGAGATTCGAATCACTTAATCATTTTGCGAATCAATTCATTCAATACGAATTTTTAAGTTTAATTTTAATATCTCCATCACTACTCGCCAGTGACTGAATTCATGCTTATGATGAACTGATTCACGATATAGGGAGCGAAATGAGACGCTCCTTTTCTGTTACTCATGCGCGGATATACTTTACTCACATAAATAATGTACATTAACGTTACATAAAGCATTACAGCATTACATTCAATAATATTTAATTAATTTTACAGCGCTTGTAAAAACAATCAAATTGACCGAATGCTCTGCATCGATTTAAACACTATCAATGCTAAAACACAAACCTTTCTTCAGCCGAATCACAAACACAGCGCGGCGCAGCCTCGTGACGTCACATCGTCAGTCCAAAATAAAAGTCCGGTATTGTGTACAGAAATGTACTTACAGAAAACATAGATAAAAGAGAGTAATATGTGAAATTCTGTTTAAAATGCCAACAAGTCATATTTAAGTGCAGAAACCATTTATTACAGGGGTTGCGAACAAGCCAATTAAAACTGTTTGATGCATTTTTTCGATATAACCATAGCAAAAACTAGTTAATAATAATAATAAATTCAAACTTACATATTATATACATTTATTCACACACACACACACACACACACACACATATACACACACACAAAAGAATATGGTCTAGAGTTGGGCAGTAGGGTTTTTAACAGAGAGAAACCTTCAGGGCCCTCAGAGAGAGCCTAAACTAATGTAAAAACAATATTTGAAATTTTTAAATTATTTTTTTTTATTACAAACTTTTAAACATTATTTTAATATAAAGTAATAATTTCTAATTTTATTTGAGCAATTCGTTATTTGACAATCAACATCTAAATGAAATAAATATAATTTCTGTGGAAATAAACTCTTCAAATATGCTTATTCAGTTTGTGCTGAAATGTGAAGGATTAAATGAAAGATGCCCATCTCCTTATTAGAATGTTTCCACCTAAAGCTTACGGCTCTGTGATTGGTGGTCCAGCCATGAAATTACAGAGGGCCAAGGCAAACAATAGTCGATGGGAGAGTAATTTCAAATTACAGAAATCTGACCAATCATATCTTTCCTCTAAATGGACTGGACTTGTTACCGCTAACTTTATGAAAAGTTTCACCCACTGTAAAAAAAATAATAATAATTACAAATAAAAGCGAATAACTGTGGAATAGACTGTTATTCACATCATGATGGAAGCCGCAAATAATGTAATTGAGGACATTCAACAGGCCGCTGTGCCAATTTAATAAAATTTTTATCATCAACAATGCATGTTTGTCATGACGTCTGTCACTAATTTGCTTTGTGTGCTGTCATGATGTTGGTTTTGTGTGTCTGCTGTCCATGTTCCGCTGAAGTGCACAGATCAATTGTGTGATGATGCAATTATTTGTAAGGAAGATTTAAACTTGACTTAAATTTAGCTATGTTTTATTTGGTGGTATCAGTCACTCTTGCTGTGCTGTTTTCTGGTTGCATTTCTAAAAGGCACTTGCACACCGAACGAAAAGCACAGTGCCACACTGCGCAACAAGAACAACTCACTGGTATCACACATCGGACGCCTAGCGTTCAGTTCAAGATGGCAAGATGATGAGCAAGTGCTGTCAATGAGTTTGAAGTGCAGTGTTTGAAGACTGATTTATATAGTTTGTGTTATTGGTAGCAGCTGTGTGTAATTGGTTTCAGGTGAGCTTGTGATTAGTGCAATGGAGCATGGGAAATGTAGTCCAGGGTGATGTGTAACAGTCTGTGTAGTGTGAGAGTCCATGTGGAGAGCGGGTGACCTCTGGTGGTGAGTGAACGGAAGTTTATAGACCGGATTCGTGACACATACATACATTTGTAACATACATACATATATCTAATGGGATTGTTTTACAATTAGGCCTCATCTTTGTGTGGTTTTATCTGAGAAGTGACTGGGGGACGTCGAAGATCTCGATGAAAAAGAAGTTCCCTTTCAAGAGGGTCTCTCGACATTGCATACAGAGTAAGCTGATCGCATTGGGGAAACACCTTTCTCCTCAAATACTGAAGCCTTATTCGCTTAACGCCATTGCATTGCAATGGCCAATGGCGCTTGACTGCACGAAAAGGGGGCGGGAAAGCGTCCTATATAAGTGGTGCCGAGTGGCATTTCATCAGAATCTTTCTCCTTCATTATAATGCTTAGGTCTTCACTGTTGATTCATCGCCAAAGAGGATTGTGGAATACGCTTTGCTAATCCCTTTACGCGTTCCGGTAGAGAATGGATTGAAGATATCATTTAGGTTTACCTGATCTGCGTGGGACCCATCGGGATCCCCGACGGACTCGAACTATGCATCTTCTGCCTGGCCGCACCCACGCAGAAGTCTCCACTGAGGGCCCTAACTGCCCGCATTGCAATGCTAAAAAACTGAGGGTCCGAATTCACTGGGATCGGTTAGCCTTCGTGCAGCTGCTCTCTTCAAGTAGCTGAGGAAGAATACTGACACGGATCCTGCTGGCCCCCTACGCTCTGAACGTGCTAATGATACAAACAGCTCACCGCCTCAGTGATGTTCTGTATTGTACAAAGCACAAAATATCCTAGCCAAGGCGCTTCAGCCGCTCACATGACATATATCAATGCCCGCCTCAGCGCAGCATTTTGCCTGCTAGATCGCAGATTACTCCAATCATATAAACAGCTCCCCGATCCAGTGACTAGCTATCGTGTACAAAGCAGCTTCAGCATTCACGAGGTTATGACGTATCACCCTATAAACACCAGCTAAGCAGTTGTTTTTAGTAGCTGAGTGTAGTGATTGTCTTTAGTAACCACCATAAACTCTGGCGCACTCACTGACCTCCTATGATGAAAATCGGTGCTGTGCCGCTGTATTCATCAGGACGTGTAGTGCCGTTTACACTCTATATATGCCACTATGATAG